GGGAACGCTACTCCAGCGAAGTCCGGTTTTACGAAAAACCCGTTGTAAGTGTTTAATATAGCTTTTATTTAATTCTAGTAACGTTATTAGGAACTTATAATAAGTACTTGGGCTATTATTATGGGTTAGATAAGTATTGTTTAACATTTATATAATAGTAATAATAGCCAAACTATTCATTAGTCTCGGTGAATATTAGACTTTTGTCCGAGGAAAATTGTGTTGAGAGTAACGAAGTGCTGTTCGAGTGCCGAGCCACCACCTTCTCAGGTGAGTGCCTAGTTACTTTCATCTTACACATAGATATGAAGTATTTTATATAAATTACGTGTTATGTGTGCATATTGTCTGAATACTTGTTGTCTATGTTGGATGAACGATTTTATACATGTTTTAAATTATATCTACCAAATATGTTGGGTAAAACATAGGTAGATGAATGATGAGGGATGAATGCTGAAATAGAGGAACATTAGTAGTATGAACCTAGTGCCCTATAGGTGAACATTAGCAGCATGGACCTAGTACCCTATAGATGAGCACTGGCAGCTGCGCCAAAACCTGTAGATGTTTTAGATCTACATTAAACATCCTAGCAGATGCGCTCTAAGGATAGTATCGACAGCTGTGCCTAATCGAGAACATTATAACCATGACAGTAGCGTCTAAAGGACAATAGCGGCAGAAGCGCCTCATAGAGAATGTCACAATTCTGGCAGCTGCGCCTAAGTGATAGGACTAGCAGTTGTGCTTGACAGATGTGTCATCGACAACGATGGACTTCGTACCTATTCCTTAGGATAATCCTTAGGAATGAATGAATGAGAAATAGCTAATTCTTAGGGTAGACCCTTAAGAGTAAAGAAGATAATGGGGACGCGTAATTGAGTTAACTGTTTGATGATTAAACTTAACAATTATATTATTGTGGGTTGAAAACCATATGTACTCACCAGGTTTCCTAACCCGACCCACTCAGTTTATTTATATCATAGGTGTTGATATGAAGTCACATTACACTGAGAGATTAAGGAGATATAAATCCCTAGTGATAATGAATGTAAGTTATGTTTATGCTTATGTTACTGTATTGACGATGACATCATCCCAAATGTTTTAAAATGAATAAAAATACTTTTCTTCGGAAATGCCTTGATAACGTATTTATCATGTTTTACTGGGAACAAATTCCACAACATTTTTATTAAGATAGGTACTCTGATTTTTATAAAGCATAAACAAAATCGGTCTTTTCTGGCCATGAAAATGGGGATGTCACATTTCTATATACTTCAAACATTCTCAAGTTCTCAGGAAGCAAAAGACAGAATTTACTTGCATGCAATAGAGACAAGAAGAGGATTGGATATTGTCAAGAATGATAAAAACAAGGTCAGGGTAGTATGTAAAGGAACAATACCAGATATGGGGATACTTGAGACATTTGGGAAAGGTGGACCAAGTAAAACTAGTGGGAAAGGTGGGCCAAGTCAAAGGAACATAAATGGTTAACCCAGTCAAATGGGTGAAAACAGAGGACCAAGTAAAAAGAAAAGTGCAGTGAAAGTAGATGAAAGCAATAAGTGCCCTTGGAAACTTTTGACAAGTAAATGGAAAAAGGATGATGATTGGACTGTGAAAACGTATGAAAAGGAGCATAAATGTCTCCAAACAAGAAAAATCAAAGCTTGTATTTACAAGTTTCTTTCAAATTATTGAGCAGTTGGAGTCTAACCCAAAAATACCAATCAGGGCTTTAAAGGAGCAGCTAGAAAGGAAATACAAAATTCAGATGTCGGACATCAAAGTATTTAGGGAAAAAGAAAAAACCCTATAAACTATTAAGGGTGATTTTGGGGGTTAATATTCTATATTGAGGGACTATCTATTGGAGGTTCAAAGTCAAAACCTAAACACAACAATTAAGTTTCAAGTGGATAATTCTTCCAACCCTGCATCAGATACTAGGATATATATATATATATATATATATATATATATATATATATATATATATATATATATATATAACTGAAACAAGGATTTGCAGCAGGGAAAAGGGACTTTCTTGGACTGGATGGTGTATTCATGAAGGGTCCCTACCATGGTATGATTATAACTGTAACGGTAAGTAATTTTATACATTGATTAACTAATTAATCTTACATATGACTTATAGATGTTAACCTAATTTTTTCTTACTGTTATAGGGATTATATGGAAACAACTGCAGTTACCCAGTGACATATGGTGTTGTAGAGTCTGAGAACTACAACTCATGGACATGGTTTCTAAAAAATCTTGGTGATGATTTGGATTTGACTACCAATCCAAACTTCACATTTATAACTGACAGGTAGAAGGTAATAGTATACAAAATTTAACTACTTAACCTTTATATTATTTGTACTAATTATATAAAATTGAATGTGTTTATGTTGTAGGGTGTTTTACCTGCAATTGCAAAATTGTTTCCATGTGCAGAAAATGGATTTTGCCTTCGACATATCCATGAGAATATGAAGCGGAAGTGGAGGGGCAAGGAGTTTAAAGATTGTCTCTGGAATGTGCAACACCATCAACTGTACAACAAATCAATCTTGCAATGGAGGAACTGAAGAAATTGAACAATGATGCATATGAATGGCTTAAATCCATTCCACCCCTACATTGGCCCAGGTCTCACTTCTCAGGTTAGTTATACATGTTAGAATTCTTGAACATTGTTGATTGTATGCATCTTAAAAGATTACTTAAAATTATGATGCAACTTTGTTATTCTACTGGAAGAGCACATTGTGATGCATTGTTAAACAACCTTTGTGAGACATTGAATAACAAACTTGTCAACGGTCGTGACAAAATAATTATAAGTTGCTTGGAATTTATTAGAGAGTACACAATGAAGAAGCTTGTTATTGTCCAAAAGACAATTGACAAATGTTCTGGCCCACTAACTCCAACTACTAAGACTCTAAGGAAGATCAAAGGTGAAGCTGTAGAGTATAGGGCTGTGTTTTGTGGAAATGGGAAGTATCAGGTTACAGGTGGTGAAGGTGTGGACCAATGTGTAGTTGATATAACACAACATACATGCTCATGTAACAAGTGGAAGGTCATTGGCATACTATGCAAGCACACAATTGTAACTATATGGGATATACGAAGAAATATTGAGAATGTTGGGATACCTAAAACATGGGTTCACCTAATATACTGGTTGAAGACATGGTAAGAGATGTATTCCTTTAAAATTGAACCAATTAATGGGAGGATGATGTGGCAAAAAGTCATTGTCCAACAAAGTTACTACCACCAAAACATCATGTGCCTATTGATAGGCTAAAAAAGAAAAGAATATCTGCTACTGAAGATGATAGTGCTACAGGGACCAGAACAGTTAGATGTTCAAAGTGTGGAAATGTTGGGCATAATGGTAGGAGCTGCAAGGGACAGGTAGTGGGAGGATCAAAGGCCAGTGGTAGTGATGTGGGACAGAATGCTGGTGTAGGATAGAACTCAGGTGTTATGAACAAGGGAAAAAGTCTGATGGTTTAGTGTATGTGTATTACTTTTTTGTCTTTCGGTTGGCTAAAGCTTTTGATGTACTTGAAACAATGTTTTTTCATGTCTTTTGGGTCTGTAATTTCAGTTTGAACTATTGTTGTGCTACTTCTTTAACTATGATGGTGATGTACTTCAAACTATGTTGACTTGATGAATATTTGTAATGGTTTGAATGACTTAATGCTTAATTAGGTTGTTAATGTATGAATCCATGTTTGTAATGGTTTGATGACTTAATGGTATGATATAAATTGTTGTTTTGGTATGAATATTTAATGATATGATATAAATTGTTGTTTTGGTATGAATACTTTGGTATGAATGCATGTTTGACAATTACCAAAAAAACACCCAATTTTCATTAACATGCAAACTAATACATCCAACTTGAGTTTGTACAACTAAAAGGTAAACATATCTGATAACTTATCCTACACTTTGTACACTAGAATTGACATAAACAAAAACCAACTAATTGCTAGATACAACTTCAGTTTTAGATTTTGTTGTTCAAGCTTCATCCTAATGTTCATACAAGCACATTTCTGATCCTCCACCACCCAACCAATGAACTTGCAACCACGAGCTTGTAAAATAAGTGTAGAAACATTTAACAATGCTAAAATTTATAGAAAATAGGAGAAATTAGGAGATTAGGTTAGATTTATCAAGAAATCGAAATTAACCGGGTTAGAACAAGCATAGTAACGTTTTCCAGGGTTGTTCTTGCTCCATGAGGTACGAATCACAACTTCAGCTCCACAACTGCATCTAATTGCCATTTTTTGTTGGTTTGAGAAGGGTAATCGAAAAACGAAAAGGGGAAAGTAAGGAGGAAGAAGACCGACGAAGATAAATTAAAGCAGGGGAGGGGCAACAGATAATAGGGGCACACAAAATGAAATAACGAAAATACCCCTGCATGCAAGGCACGTGGGGCACCCAAACGGAGAAAACTAACGTCTAACGACAATATGGACTGGGCGGAAAGTATTTAAATAAATAAGGGACGATCCGAGTTAATTTTCAAAAATAAGGACTGAACGTGCAATTTGACACTTGGACCAGGGACGATTCGTGTAATTTACTCTAAATAAAAATATAATATAAGAAATTTTTTGATTAATGAGAAATAATCTCTACAGTCTTTACAGTCTTTACGAGGTTAAGAAAAACACATCCATAAACGCCCTTAAATTGTAAAGATGTAAGGGTATTAATTACAACTTGCTTTAAGTTAAAGGGTGAAAATTGAATTTTTAGTCATCAGAAGAACGTTAGAGAAACTCCATCGTCCCCACTCCGATTTCAAATTAATTCCTCTTTCAAAACCCTCTCCAACGGCTAATTTTTTCATTCTCTCTCTACAGTCCCCCCTCTCTACTCTGTAGGATAATCCTTCTCTTTACGCACTGGATTAGGGTTTGTGAAAGATGAAGAAGCCACCTAGAAGCCCGATATTGAGAGAGAATTCTTTCGATATGCCACCACAAAACCCTAGTTCGATGAAGCAGAATAGATCTTCAAATCGAAAACAGAAATCTTCCAAAGAAAATGCTCCGCCTTCCAATACGAACGTCATTCCAGATTCCTCTCATAATCCTTCTTTCACTGGTAAACCCTCTCCCTCCGTTGCTAGTAAATTGAAATCCCTGCTCCCACCGAGACCTCCTTCATCAAATCCTCTCAAGCGGAAGCTTGGTACTGAGTTTCAACCTGAAAATGGTGTCTCTGGATCTTCTGATACAGGGGTTAAGGTATGCATTTTTAAACCCTAATCCGGTGTTTTTTTGCTGGAAAATGTTTACAGTTTGCAGCCTTACAAAATGTCAGCTGAATCTGAAGTTTTTCTTTAGGTTATTGTAAGAATGCGACCACAGAGTAAAAATGAAGAGGGAGAAACGATAGTCCAGAAGACTTCTGGTGATTCATTATCGATACTTGGACAACAATTTACTTTTGATCATGTAGCAGACACAACCGCAACTCAGGCAAGTGGATTGTTCTTGTTAATTTAGTTTCCTTTTATATAAAAAACTCAGATTTTTTACTGATATTCTCGCCAAATGGTTTTTTTCTTTCAGATAGATATATTCCAGCTTGTGGGAGCACCTCTTGTTGAGAATTGTCTTGCTGGATTCAACAGTTCTATATTTGCATATGGACAGGTATCATCTCGTGTTTCTTTCATAGAAATAAGCTTTTAACGCTCCTATTTGTCTTAATTCATCACTATACATTTGATTTTCAAAGACTGGTAGCGGAAAGACCTTCACAATATGGGGACCCACCAATGCGTTGTTGGAAGAAAATTCATCTAGCGATGAACAAGGCTTGACACCCAGAGTTTTTGAACGACTATTTTCTCGCATAAATGAGGTAACTTTACACATCTTTTTTATGGGTCCCAACCCCTTCTTACCTTGAAAAAGCAGGGTCAAGTATGTAAATTTATCTCATGATTTACTTATTTCTCGTAGGAACAAGATAAACATGCTGACAAACAACTTATGTATCAGTGTCGCTGCTCTTTTCTTGAGGTAATAATCAATATGATCATTTATGATTGTTTGTTCACACTTTATACTGATCCCAAAACATTTCATTTCAGATATACAACGAACAAGTTACTGATTTGCTGAATCCATCACAAAAAAACCTTCATTTAAGAGAAGACACCAAAACCGGTGTTTATGTTGAAAATTTAACCGAATCTTCTGTTTGCAATATGAAAGATGTGACAGAGCTTCTCAAAAAGGTGTGATTTGTCAATTATCACTTTTATATGGTATCTTCTGCATTTGACTAATAGTCAAACACATTCAAAAAGCATATAATTTTCAAGAAATCTCGTTGATAATATAAAAATTATGCAGGGTTTGTCAAATAGGAAGACTGGAGCAACAAGTATAAATATAGAAAGTTCCCGCTCACACAGTGTATTCACTTGTGTTGTTGAGTCACGCTGCAAGGTAATAACAAGATTGTAATAATTGTAAATGTTTTGCATACGAAAAGGGTATAATTGTAATTTTTAAATTCCTATTTTTTAGAGCATGGATGGATTGAGCTGCTTGAAAACAAGTCGAATGAATCTTGTTGACCTTGCTGGATCAGAGAGACAAAAGTCAACTGATGCAGCTGGAGATCGTTTGAAAGAAGCTGGAAATATCAACCGATCACTTTCACAGCTGGGGTATGTTTGTCATATCAACTAAAATATGTATTTATATAACTATAAAGTCTTTTATATTTATGGATGTTGGATTGACAGAAACTTGATCAACATTCTAGCTGAAGTATCACAAACAGGAAAGCAAAGGCATATTCCTTACAGAGATTCCAAACTGACATTTTTGTTGCAGGAATCTCTTGGTGGAAATGCAAAACTTGCTATGATTTGTGCAATTTCTCCAGCACAAAGGTATAAACAATGTTCTATTCTAAGATTTGGTATAATAGACAAATGACAAAATGACAAATCTACCCTTTTTTATTTCAGTTGTAGAAGTGAGACATATAGTACATTAAGATTTGCTCAACGTGCAAAAGCTATAAAAAACAAAGCAGTTGTTAACGAACAAATGCAAGATAATGTGAATACATTGCGTGAAGTGATACGCCAATTAAGGGTATATTTTTTTTGATCTCTTTTTTGTATAAGTTGGAGGAATTAATAAAAACTAACTTGGGATTTTTTTATTTTTTTTTATAAAAGGATGAACTTGTACGTGTAAAGGCAACAGGAAACCAAGGTGACACGTGTGGAGGGTATTCAACAGGGTGGAATGCTCGAAGAAGTTTGAATCTTTTGAAATTTACCCTCAATTGTCCAATGATTTTACCTCGTGTAGATGATGATGGAGATGAAGAAATGGAAATTGTTAAAATGGAAGAAGATAAAGTTTCTGAGGATATTATTGATGTTAAAATGGCAATTGCTCCATCTACTACTGAAATAAATCAAGATTCTTTAAGTGTTTTGACTGAAATACCCCCAGTCCTGAAGTCTCCAACTCCAAGTGTTTCACCAATAACTGAAAACAACATCAGTAGGAAAAGTTTGAGAACTTGTACAATGTTAACTGCTTCTCAAAAGGAACAAGAAACTAGGGTTTTTGAGGATCTTGAAAATCAGCTTGAAAACCATTTTGCAAAAAATTTGAATCACAATTTGGCTAAGAGTCTACATCATGGTCTTGAAGTGATTGATAAAAACCGAAAAACTTCTGCTTTTGAAAGATCTTCTTCCAAGTTTTGTTATAAATCTTTAGATAGTAAGCCAAAATTGGTGAGAAAAGACATTGGTGTCCAAACTCTTAATGAAAAGAAGTTAGAAGAAGAAGAAGAGAAAGTGTTTTTATGCAGAAATTGCAATTGTAAAAGCTCTAAACAAGTAGAAGAAGATGGAAACTTGCAATTGGTTCCTGTTGATGATGATAAATCCAAGCAGTTGGTTCCTAAAGTATGATTGATTGATTGATTATATAAGTTTACAAAACATAAAATTTTGTTTTTTGTTTATTTTTTATTAATGAAACAGTTTATATATCTATAATGCAGGCAGTTGAAAAGGTGTTGACTGGAGCTATAAGGAGAGAAATGGCATTGGAAGAGCTTTGTACAAAACAAGATTCTGAAATTAATCAACTTAATCGTTTGGTATGCTTTTAATTTGCTTTTATTTTTGTAAATGCAAAATAACAAACATATTTCACCCTTTAATCATTTCTACAAAACAGTTACAACAATATAAACATGAAAGAGAATGCAATTTGATAATTGGGCAAATACGTGAAGATAAAATTGCTCGTTTGGAGAGCTTGATGGATGGAATTTTGTCTCCTGAAGAGTTTAAAGATGATGAATTGGCTTCTTTAACAAGTGAGAATAAGGTATTTTTTGTCTTTATATCTGCTTTATGCTTTATTGTCTGTATATCTGCTTTATGCTTTTATTGTATGTCAATTTACTTTATGCTTTATTTGATATGAGATTTTGGGTATTGCTATTGCATGGATTGCAAGTTTTTTCATGTTTTGGTTCATTTACCATTTTGCCCTTGTATTAACTTCCACTTTTCCTTATGTTACACAGATTTTGAAGGAAAATTACAAAAACCACCCTGAAGTTCTAAGAACAGAAATCGAGTTTCAAAGATTTCTAGATGAATTAGAACGTTACCAAAACTTCTTTGAATTAGGGGAAAAAGATATATTATTGGAAGAAGTTCAAGATTTAAGAAACCAACTTCAATCTTACATAGATTCATCATCATCAAAATTATCACAAAAACCAGTCTTCCAAATAACTCACCCAAGTGGGGTCCAAAGTGAAGAAGAACTAGAATCCATAAAACAAGAACTAGAAACCACACGTCTGCTAATGGAAAAGCAAAAAGAAGAACTTAACACAGAAAGAAAATGTTCAAAAGAGCTAAAAGATGCATTGCAAATGGCAATAGAATCACATGCAAGAATGCTTGAACAATATGCTGATTTGGAAGAAAAACATAGTCATTTGGTTACAACACAAACAAGAATTGAAGATGGAGTTGCAGAGATTATAAAAGCAGCATCAAAAGCTGGAATCAAAGGGGCTGAATCTAGATTTATAAACAAACTTGCGAATGAATATTCGAGTTTGAAAGCAGAAAGAGAAAAGGAAAGACATGTTTATAGAGATGAAAAGAAAGGGCTTCAAGAACAGTTGAAAGATACTGCTGAAGCTGTTCAGGCTGCTAGTGAATTGCTTGTTAGACTTAAAGAAGCAGAAGAAGCTGTTGCTGAAGCTCAGGTAATTTACATTTTTGGTCCCTCCGTATAGCTGGATATTTCAATTTCGGTTCCGAAACGTTTTGTTTTGCAATTTTGGTTCTTGTTTGAGGTTTTTGTAACGTTTTTTGGTCATGTTCCAAGTTAAATGAATATATTTGGGACTAAAATTGTAAAAATCGGCTAAACTCAGGGACCAAAAATGTTACAAACTTTTTAAAGAAGGATCAATATTGCAAGAGAACTTTTTAGGACCAGTTCTACACAGGGGAAGACACTTTTTTGGAGTAATTTACATTTTTGGTCCCCTAGTATAGCTAAAATTTGCAAATTCAGTCCCAAAATGTTTTATCTTGTATTTTAGTCCTATTCTAAGTAAAATGACTATTTTTGGGAGCAAGTTTGCAAAAATAAGCTAAATTTAGGGATCAAAATGGTCATTGTACTAAGAACATGGACCAAAAAAGTTACATAAGTTATGAAAAAGGATCAAAATAGTCATATTCCAAGTAAAATGACTATTTTTGGGACCAAATTTGCAAAAATAAGCTAAATTTAGGGATCAAACTAGTCATTGTACTAAGAACATGGACCAAAAAAGTTACATAAATTATAAAAAAGGATCAAATTTGGAAGATAACTTTTAGGGACCAAAATTTTTTTGGTCCTTGAGTATAGCTAAAATTTTCAAATTTGGTCACAAAATTTTTTATCTTGCAAATTTAGTCCTTATTTGAGGTTTATGGTTTTTAGTCCTGTTTAAAGTGATTGTTTTTGGGACCAAATTTGCAAAAATAATCCAAACTCATGGACTAAAATAGTCATTGTACAAAGAACGGGGACCACAAACGTTGTAGAAACCTTAAGGAAGGATGCAAATTGTAAGAGAACTTTTTGGGACCAAACATGCAAAAAACTAGCTATACTCAAGGACCAAAAATGTAATTTAATCATTTTCTATAAATTGTTTATCTTCTATGAATGTGTAGACACGAGCCAGGGAGGCGGAAGAAGAAAAGGAGAAGGCTTACAAACAGATTGAAAATTTAAAGAGAAAATATGAAGATGGTGAATTGACTAAACTACCCCTGGAAGGTGAATTTGAAAAATTCTATGTGGAAGATGAGGAGTTGACTAAATTACCAGAACCCTCTTCGTGGTTCTCTGGGTATGACAGTTGCAACATATAGGGGGTAGGGGTACGATAGTCAATTCCAAATTTAGATGTAGAATTTTTATGTATATCTATATATTTGGGACCAAATGTATTGGTTCTCTATTGTATTATTAACTTTTTTTTGAACTTTTTGCATTAATACGAATCTTTTTGTCTGTTAGAAGCAAATCTAGTAGGGGCCTAGTTTGTAGAGAGACAATTGGCCTTTTCTTTAGATCTTACATTTATTTAGTGAATATAAAATATTTATGTTATGTAATTTCTAAATAAAAATTAAAAACAAAATAATGATGTTTAGGGATGTTTAGTAAAAAAAACATATATCGAAGTCTCTGAGTTAGACCTAATTTTTTACGAGACTCGTTTGTTCAATACTGTTTTTGTTTTATCTAACTTGATAAGTAAACAATTTCATACATTAGGTTTAATTAAAAAAGTTATTTTATATTTTTCATAAAATGAAAGTGATTGGTAATCAATTGTTCTAGCTACTTGCACTTGCCTCTTAACAACGGCGATTTTTATTTTAAATGTTTGTCACAACTTAAAATGGTCAAAGTGTAAAAAAGTAGAAAAATAATAATTAAAAGTCATAAATAGTTGGTTTGAGAAGTTAATGAATCTTTCAAAATTCAAACCAAGAGAATTATGCGTCGGTGAATATACAAATTAGTTTTCCTATAACAATTGTATCATTATTATATTATTATTATTTCAGTTCCAAATTAATTTGTCACGTTTGATTTTTAAAGTATTTATTTTTCAATTTTGATCTTAAATAATTTTCTTTTTGATAGATAATACTTGATGAAAATTATATGAATGGATTGTATTTTAAGTGTCTTTTTATTGTTATAAGTTTCATTAAAGAAAAATGATTTCAAAAATCAAAAGTGGACAATTAATTTGGGATGGAGGGAGTAATAAATTGCAATTATAAAATCGTAAAAAAACCAAGAAAGCCGGTGATTATACAAATTAGTTTTCCTAAAACAATTGCATCATTATTATATTAATAAATTATAATGATAAAATCGTAAAAAAAACCAAGAAAACAAAAACTTTCAAATATAAGATTGGTCCTTTGGTCCAAACAATTGTGGTTTAGAACCGGTCCAAAGCTTGAATACACAACCAGATCAAAGATCGATAATATGAACCTAAATCAGAATCAAAATAATCAGTCTGATCTTATGTTAAAACTTTTATACAACCTGAAAACTCGCAATTGTGCACCTAACACTTTTGATATGATCCTATATGCTTGATATGGACAAAAATTATACAATATAGAATCTTGAAGTTAAGATCATTAATATTATTTGACATTGATGCTCAATAGGTATTAGGTAATAATGTTTAGTATATTTGATGTCTATAGAGACCAAAAAACAAGTAGCTTATGGTATTGTCTTGCAAGATAAACATGTCTCTCCTACTTTGTGGACAAATAAGGGGATTGGTATTATATTATTACTATTGGACCACAAGAATCAAGATAGGAACAAACATAGTTGGTAAGGTAACAATCCTAACCATTCGATTTTCTAATGTAGATAATTCTATTTTTTCTTTTTTTATGTTTTTCTTTTTATAAGTAGAAAGAAAGTTTTAAGAATACATCAATGCTAGTACTCATGACAGGAAATGGGCCATGATGGGGACATTTAGAATCTAACTACAGGGTTAGAATGGGAAAAAAATAGTTGTAAGTTATTTTAATTTTGAACACTATTATTATAGTTTGGTAGAACCTTTTATTTATTTATTTTTTTGCCAATTGGTTGAGTTATATTATAGATTGATAGATGTCCTTTTGCTTTCACATAATGTGGGGTACTCGGTACAAACAATCATCACACTTAGGAATTATAGATTTATGATTACCATTTTATTTTTTGTAGCAAAATATATTTAAATGTCGAAAATACCCTTGAAGTAGATTAGTATCATTAACTACCACTCAATTGTCACCGTGTGAGTAATTGAAACCTTTTTGGTTTTACACGATGTGGATAAAATCACTCCATATATTTTAAATGTCGAAAATATCCTTGAAGTAGTCTAGTATCATTAAGTCTTTGATTTAAGATGACCATTTTACCTTTTTTTTTTTTTTTTTTTTTTTTTTTTTTTTTTTTTTTTTTTTTTAATAAATACCTTTTTATTTGACATAATGTGGGTAGAAATTGTAAATTTAAGATGAATATTTTACACTTTTGTAGGTGGTAAATATTAATTGTTGGAAAATGCCCTTGAAGTAATTAGCATTATCAAAATATTACTCGAATGTCACTGTTTTTGTGAATGGTTGAATAAGTATTAGGTTATTACTAAAATGTCTAAAATACCCATGATTAACTTTAATACAAGATGAACAACTTTATCTTTTATGACTTTTATCTTTTCGCTTTGCCACAATGTGGGTAAAAACAAAATAGGAATTGTACATTTGAAACGTCTAAAATACCATTATTAACTATTACACAAATGCCACGATTTGGTAAAGGGTAATAAAGTTTTTACTATTATTAAAATGTCTAAAATACCCTTGATTAACCATCCTTAATTGATGGGGGGGGGGGGGGGCGGTAATCTTAGCTTAAAAAATAATGGAAAACTAAAGCAACCAACTAAAAGCAACAAAGGATAATTCTTAAGGTGAAAGAAAAGGACATAAAGTGAGGAAAGAGAGTGATTTGTACCAATTTGAGCTATGATAATTAGTGACAGCTGGTAAAATGGACCATTCCTAATCATAATTGATGATCATAAACAAATGAAACCCCACATGGAAACATATTCAATCAATCTTTCCCTAACTATTCTTTTAATTTATACCCTTTGTTTTTCTTTGTTTTCTTATCACTAATCATGGAAACCACATCATCTTCTTTTCTTTTGACTTTTAACCAAAGTCAAAAAAGACTAGTAACTTGACCGTTTGGTAAAAATTAAAAAAAAAAAAAGGTTGATTATTTTCTAAAGGGAGGGAAACTCAATTTCTTTGATGAACCCATATGAATATTTTTGTGAGAATCTTGGATATAATGGATTTAACTCTAATGACCATGTTTTGCTAATCTTTTGATCCATATAATGTCAATGTCATTCTTCAATATATTTCGTCTCAACTACTATTTGGTAGATATTTAAAACAAAAGGGCCAAATAATCATCCTCTTCAGTTACATTCCCTTACCCTACTTTAAAACTATCCCATCAACCAAACTAAATGACACAATTTTATTATTGAATGAATAGTATTTCTTGGAGGAAGTTGAGTTAAAAAAATAAATAAATTCAAAGACTACAAAAATTTCACTCTGTTTCCTGCATGACTTTCCCAAAAATGAAGTCTTGGATACGTCAATTAACAATATTTCTCTAATTATTCTTTTAACAATATTTGAGACAGTTTGGTAAATCAGATATCCAGTTGACATTAGAGTCTGTGTATAAAAAGCTCAACCCACACGGGAATTAAAAGGGTTTTTAACACTATAACACAATAAAGTTTGACGAATTTACACATTTAGTCATTCAAGTATTTTTGTGTCAAATATACCATTAAAGTTGAATTTTACCTATCAACTACACAATTATATGACCTGATATAGGAACAATCGGTTACTTGAGTGACTAAATGGGTAAATTTACCAAACTTTGTTATGTTAAAGTGCTAAAAACAAAATCACATATGTCAAGCCACGTCAGCATGTAATCTGTAAATCGGATATGATTCCCCTCAAACCCTTAATTACTCGGTATTTCCTAACGTTAAGAACCAACTGAGCACAACAAATACTTGAGTGACTAAATGTGTAAATTCGTCAAATATTATTGTGTTACAGGGCCAAAAACCGAATTAAAACTTCTAACATTGCGGCTACTATAAGACTGATCAACTCTTTAGTGTTTCTACACGTAAACCACACTATGAAACTTTTGATGAAAAAAGAGTAATAATAAATAAAAAAAAAGATGATGGATTGTAATGTTTTGGTTTTTTGGAAGGTTGCAAAAGGATTTGGGAGCCAGGCTTTCACATAAAGTTTGGCTGTCTATCTATCAAAAGGGTATCTTTCTACATCTGAACACCACTACTTTAAACATTCTACTTATCCAAAAAGATTTCTTTTTTCATAAGTTTCTAAAGTATGATTGCAAATAAAAAAGGTCTTTGATTCCTTGGCCAAAGTCAGATCTACACCATGCCCAACCTGGGATTTTGATTCCTTTTCTCCCTTGTCTTTGTAATAATTTCTTGATAATTTGCACTTCTAGACAAATGTATGTGTATTTATGTATATACGTACATACATATAGAACAAAAGGATATCAAATATGGATATTGCATATATTCAAGGATACAAGTTTGTTAATTATAATTTTACTCGTGTTTTACACCCCATTGTTATTCTCCAAGCACAATGCACACTAAGGGTGGAATTCTAAAAAAACACAAGTCATTACTGATATAGTATAAGGTAACATTCTGAATAATACAACGTTTCTTCACTATTGTTGATTTAAAAACCTTAAACCTTTTTTCTAAAGTATGATCAAAACAAATATTTTAATTGTAAGTTAAAAGAACATTTACCACTGCAAACAAAACATTCACATATGAATTGTTTCGCTGTTGATCGGTGTTAAGCCATTTACCGACGCATAAATCCATCGCATATTTAGGCCTGGCTAACACTTTAGCGACGGATCCTTCCGATAGCGACGAAATTATCCACTAATCAGTTACATTATATTTTCCAACGGACCAATGTGACAGATTATTTGGCATTGGCGACGAAATTTTAGTGACACTAGCAACGAAAGTTGTTTAGAGTTTAGCGACGGACGCTTTTAAGAAAATCCGGACTTTTTTTTTTGAAATGCAGAGAAATATGACTATAACAAACAAACAAATATAGATTTTTCAGGATCAAACAAAGCAATAAACATAAATCTAGAAAGTTTCTAATACAAAATTCTAAAAACATAAAACTACTATGACATGTTGATGGGTTGACTTAGGGCCGGCTCAATGAGTTTGGGGGCTCTAAACGAAATAAAAATTTGGGCCCTTTAACATTTACTATATTTAATGTTATAAACCCTACTCCTTTATCCGGGCTTGAAACCTATAATAATAAACTAAAAAGTTCACAAATGACGGAGTTAATTTTTTTTTTAATGTATATGTTTTTTGTGAATATATTTTATGACATAAAATTAATTTTTCTAGCACTTTTAAATGCAAATTCTTTTATGAAAATTTTATAATCAATTTCTTTTA